CGCACCTTCGACAAACAATTTTTATCGGACTCGTATTTGCTCACTTTTTCGCCATATTGGATGAAAAACGTGTCATCCTACAGCTAAAAGGTCCTAAAAGACCGATCTTTATGATTATAAAAAAATACATTCATGCACCAAGTAATTAACGCAGAATGGCATGCTAAAATTGGATTATCTTTTTTTATACATCTGCCTTAACTGTTCTACTCCAACTCCGAGTTTAGGTTTTTGTCGAGGGTCGAGTGTCGAGGGTCCAATATCGAGGGTGAGGGTAAAAAGTCGAGGGTCATAAAAAAAGTCGAGGGTCCAAATTTGCGGGCAAAATAACTTGTTTAATGTTGTGACATGGACTTATCATATATATGTATACAGAACTACATTAACTTTTAAAAGATACTACCTTGCGTAAATTTTCTAAGCGATTATTTTCTGGCCCCTTCACGCTCGCAAGTTAACATGTTTATGTCTAATATGAGAACGGTGTCTTTGCTTTCTTATCAAATTAAACGTAACAGCATAGATTATCGAGCAGCTGTAATTATCAAGCCAGTAATGGCAATACATTAAGGCAAAATATATTACCAATAACAAGTTATGATAAAAAAACTTGTGTGGTTTTCTGCTAGATCGGAGCGCAGTTAGCGCGGTGCAGACATGCCACTGTTTCAAGAAACCAATTAACGCTAAATGATTCAGTCAATATTACATTGTCATTGACCAACCTCGCAAGCACACCTGCGGCGGGACGGGGACCTTTGCTTGATGCGAGGTTGAACATTGCCATTGGCCTGTTTATGAAATTATACTACGTTTAGAAACTCTTTTAAGACTTTTAAGTTAATATTGATAATAAATGCTCTTTGACTTTGCTTTTAATGAAAAAATTCCGCCTTTTTATCTAAAAATGCCTTAATCAAAAGTGGCCTGGGGACATTTACGCTAGAAGACATGCTGCGTGCGTGAAACCTTTTAACCAGACGAACCAAACCATCAACTTAATGAGTTAGTTTCTAGACCAGAATTCTCCCTTAATTCATGATTTACATAAGGAGAAACACCGTTTTAAAAACTCTTTTATCGTTAGTAGTTGTCTTAGTTGTCGTAAAAATACAACCCTCGACTTTTTTTTACGACCCTCGACTTTTTACCTTCACCCTCGACTTTTTACCCTCACCCTCGACTTTTTACCCTCACCCTCGACATTGGACCCTCGACACTCGACCCTCGACAAAAACCTAAACTCTCCAACTCCAAGCCATGTATAAAAGTCTAGACACATGCATCATCATTTAATTAGCCCTCTACTAGGCAAACGGAACATTTAACATTAGAGCTTCCTACGGCCCTGAATAAGCACTGCACTACAGGCCATAAGTACAGAAGGCAACTGAATTAAATGTATAGTCTATAGATTATTGTCAATGGAAAAATAACTTCATTTTTCACTTAAATTAATTGTTTTTCATTAAAAATGAAAAATTGTTTTTTTCAAAAATAAACGGATTCTCATATTTCAAAATCGTCAATCATCATTCATTTTTTTACGATTTAAAATATGAGAATAATTTTTTGTTGTTGACAAAAACAATTTTTCTAAATCATCAGCGGGAATGAGCGTTCCGTCCTTTGATGTCCGAATTCGAGCTACAATTATGCTAATTCTGTATGCTGTTCTGCTAATACGCATGTTATGCGCTGTTCTGCTAATTCCGCGGTATGCTGTTCTGTGAATGACGTATGCTGTTCTGCTAAAGGTACGTTTACCGGCACAACGATTAATCGGCCGATTCAACTTTAAATAAAAATACGCTGTCGACGTCATCTGACGACATCGTTAACTGACAACGTTCGTCATTAACATTCTGCAAAACCTGAAATCGGCCCAATTAATCGTTGTGTGTAAACTACGTATGCTGTTCTGTGAATGACGTATGCTGTTATGCGAATACGTGATGCTAATATGCCACCCTCAATGCTGTTCCACTAAATAGTAATTTCCCATAGATTTACACGTTATTGTTTATTTGGCTTACTCATTTTCAAAGTACACAAAAATTTCTTACAGTAAAATTTTGGATGTACCCTAATTGCTATCAGCTCACCATTTAACATACAGACACAATCAGTCAATTGAGCTAGTAATTTTTTACACATTATGCAGGGCTTTCAAAATAAGTGAAGCTGGCGGTCCGGTGGGTGCCACGAGGTTTAATAACGCCGGCTACTTAACCTACTTTGTTTAGTACTTGCATGAAATATCAATTCTGCTCTCCCAGCTTCCTCCACTATAAGCTTTCAAACAAAGTTATTTTTCCTCAACCTGCTCTGCTTCATAGCCTGGTCAACGAAAAGTCAGGCGAACTTTATGCGCATTTTTAAGTGTTTTGAACGCATTTTTATACATATACTTGCTGGGCTGCCTATGCTTAAATCTAGAAGTCATCTTGTTGAAGAATGAAAGTATAGTGATACGTTATAATTTGGTTACAGAGCTCAGTTGTGTTTGTTAATTTGGATCAGTGACTTTAAGACTCCCTATAGACCCCTCTTCACAGCCGCCTACTTTAATTAACAACACAGCCACCGGCTCAGAATAATTCTGAAAGCCATGCATATGCTATTTAATGTCAAAATTATTGGGAAAGATAAAACCCATCCTCCTGACCCCTATAATTGATTGTTGTTGTTTATTATTATACTGTACTCTGACATTTGCAGTGAATACTCTGTGGAAATTCTCATACAGGTGAAATAGTTGATGATGAAAAATAATATTTCCCCTCAACGTTGGCTGAAGGTACACGAATTCTGTTTCTCCTAACCATATAAGGATGTTGCAAAGAGGTTCCAGTCATATTATTTAGGAAACAGGGTCGCTCCATAGTCACCATATCGTCTTGAGTCATTGTACCAATACTGATGTTGTGCTTTTTTACCATCTCCCCCACAAACGTTCTCAGTTCCTCCGCATGATAATGTAGGATGTCTGGAGTTGTTACATCTTCCAGTATGGGTTTAAAATTACCTCTGCAAAGATTATTTATTTGAGTCGTTATATCTCCCAATTCACGCTTGCACAACTCAAATACAGTGTCGAGATTCTCTGAATTAACAATAGGTTTAACGCATTCAACGAATCCTTTAAGATGTTCCTCATTAAAAAAATTGCTGCGAGAATTATCCAGCATCTTAAACATGACCAGTCTTATTAAATGCAATAAATCACCCTCTGGCAACTGATGTTCACTGGGTTGTTCTGGCCAAAGCTTTTTTATACCGTCCCAAATTTCATTCTCCTTCTCCATCACTCCAGTTATTCTTCTCTCAACACAAGACTCAAGATTTTTAAAACACAAATATTTGCATTCAATATTGCAACTCATTTCACCTTTCTTATATCTAAAGTAGTTAATGTATGGGATTGCACACTCAATTGTATTATCACCAAGATGATTAGATGACTGTCCTTGGTTTGTACTTGATGGTCCTGTGACAGAAGACGGTTGAGCACCAACACTCAGTAGTTCAGTTGATTCGGTATCTGCATTTTGTGGTATTGCCACAGAAGTGGTGGTTCCTAATTCAATTAATTCAGTACCTGCATTTGGTGCTCCTGGCACAGAGGTGGATTCAGTTACTGTAGTACCTGCATTTGAGGGTTCTGCCTCGGACCCGAAGTACCTTAACACCTTTTCAATAACTTTTTGTCTAGGCGTTGACACAAAAAGATAAATGGTTTTACCCATTTTATTGATTTCGGTAGAAAATTCTGACTTAATATCCTCCGGACATGCTTTATCGTGAATGCTAGATAACTGAATACGAAATTCGATGAATAACTTCATTATATTGTTAATATCTGATATAACCTCCCTAATCCCATAACCAGAGCTCCGAAATGTGGCAATGTTACGCCGCATACTAAGTTCATCGGAAGATGTCCCTTGTTGATCCGTGTTATCAAATATTTCCATATTTTCCAGGTGACTCATGTACAGTAAGACATCAAATTCAGTAAATGTACAAGTAATATTCTTTGTCTTCAATTTCTCTACATTTTTCATAAAACTGTGAAAAATCCTTTCCACTTTGTCGTATTCTCGGCTGAGAACTGCTGCGATCTTTTCTGCATCCACTTTCTGCCTGGCTTCCTCTCGTCCTCGTTCTCTCTCTCTGGATTCTCTCGTTTCTTTCTGTCTAGCTTCTTCTCGTTCTCTTTCTCTCTTTCTCGCTTCCGTCGTTTCTTTCTGTCTGGCTTCCTCTCGTTCCATTTCTTTCTCTCTGGCTTCCGTCGTTTCTTTCTGTCTGGCTTCCTCTCGGTCCATTTCTCTTTTTCTGGCTTCCCTCGTTTCTCTCTGTCTAGCTTCTTCTCGTTCCATTTCTCTATCTCTGGCTTCCCTCGTTTCTTTCTGTCTGGCTTCCTCTCGATCTATTTCTCTTCGTAGTCTGTCTTCTCTCTCTTGATTGTCCTTCTTCTTTCTTTCATTCCACCAGTAACTGATAAACAACAAACCGAAAATTGTCAATAAGGTATTAAGTGGTGTGCAAACTACATATATATAGTCTTTCGCTTTGATGAGATGGTCCGTCATTTTTTTGGAACTTTTCAGAACCAATTTGTTACAACGAAAGATTTGTTAGAACTTAGAACTGAACCGTTTTTATTATCAATATATTATCACAACAACCTGCGACAATCAATATGGGTTCACATGGTGAAAAACGGGTGGAAACATAAACTATAAATAAACTTAGTTTAATTTCGGCTTCTTGTGTCGAGTATAAAATAAAGCCCATAATAATAATTAAGTTTATTTATATGTTTGATAGTAGGAAACATCCCTTATTGGTGTCATGAAATGCTATTTGTAAATTGTTGAAGTCAAATAATCTGTGGCCATATAACCATATCGTTCTTAATGCAAATTATCGATCTATATATAGGCTAGCTGAAGCGTATTTATACTATTTGGTGAATCCTTAGTCCTGAACTAAATGCACGCAGAATTGCTTGTCGAGTGTAATGATTGGGTTTCGAACATATTTTAGCAAGCGTTGCCAAGCAGGGACAAGTTCAAATTTTAAACAGAGTTGATGAGAGTCATTTCCAATCAACTCTCACGTACAACCTCTCCACCGAGTCAACGGGGATTGGTAGCGAGTCTTGTCCAATTTAAATACACGAAATAGCAATCTCGTTCCTCGAGCATGCGATCCTCGGGAAGGAACTGGGATAATCCGTTTCAGGGAGGAATCTGATTGGCCGTTGAAATGGAATGCGTAGTTCAATCTTAGCCAGGATTCCTGGCTTCCGGCAACGGATTATCCCAGAGCCTCGCGTTCCTTCCCGAGGATCGCAGGCTGCCTCCTCCGCAGGCCCT